TAATATTAAGATTTATTTAAAATTTTCGCCCGATGTTGTTAGTATGAAGTTATTATTTGCAATGATCCACGAAAGAATCGGATCGTTTATAGAAACTTAACAAATTACGAATATATTACACACGTATTGTGTAAATTATTTTCACATTCAGTATTCATACATTCTGGTATAGTGTCTCTTTTCAAAACCATAAAAATTCAATTCGATATGAAAATCTTTTACCCACGTTTTTACTGTCCGATCTTTGATCGATTGTCCATTACGGGATTACGGTTTCAGATAAACTGGGGAAAAAAATAGAAACAACAATAGAACAAAACTCGCTTCGATACTAGGAATTAGTATCAATCTAGATTTACGCCCGAGTCGACAGATATTCTTACATTTGAACATTTGAATCAATTGCAAGATTGCAAATTAAAAGTCACAGATAATTCAAATAATTGTAAAGTTCTGCAACATATTCACTAGTTACAGATAATGGAAAATAAAGAGAAACATAAATGATGAAAAATCCACGTAGCAATAAATATATTAACCCTTTGCACTCCGCTGTCGCCGCAGACGCGACATCAAAAAGAAACATTGTTTTTTTAACTTTTAATACTTTATATATTGAATTTAAATATTCTTTAGTTTTTCTTGGAAGCCTATGCTGTTTATTAGTTATATATAAGTGAAGAAACTCAAAAAGTAATTTTTTCATTTATTGTATTTTTATATATTTTCTTAATTACATTGTATTAACGAAACATGATAGGTTGTATTAAAAATTGTTCCGAGTGCAAAGGGTTAAACCTTCCACTTCAGTAATCTACTACCGAAAAATAAATTTCTTAACTTTTCGTCAATTTTTATACATGTGTACATTATTATTATTATTATTATTATTTTTGTACAAGCATTGTTGTGTCAATTTTCTGAATTTTGAAATCGGCCAACGCACGCGATAATTACATTTAGACAAGAGAGAAATGAATGTTGTAATGACAAGATGAACTGTGGCACTTATTAACCGCCGGAATACTATAGTGCATTCATGCTGCATTCCCCATTCATATCTGTTTCAGTTCATGTTTGTCAGGGAAATACGCACTCATAATGTGCAGCACGATCATTCTAAATTCCCACGAACGCGAACGAAAATATCATCGTCTTTGAATATTCCAATTGCTATTACAATCGAGAAGAGTATTGAAGTGACATTTATTCTAATCTCATCGAAATTTCGTTTTTTTTTTTTTTTT